CAAGAGGAACATATTGCGGAATTTGGTAACAACAATAAACCATTGATTGTTAGAATGTTCCAAGCTCAAATTGACTAATTTACTTATTAAAGTGGGAAAGGGGAAGCAGAATTCAATTTGCATCCTTAAATCTTTTGCTTGTAAGTTGATTTAAGGCTTTGGAGAGAAAAGAGCGAAAAAAGATGTATTTGATGTCTTAGTACTTTTGCATACAGTGGTTTATTAGGTTTCAAGAAACGATAACATATGCATTTTGCATTTATAGGTTTTCAAGAACGACACTTTCTAACCATTCTTAACACTACGCATTTTCTTTTGAGAGAAATTAACACTAAACCTTAACATAAACAATTTTATCAATTCTCTGCATTTCCAGGATGTTGACATCTTTCTGAGTTGTTTATGTGTTGAAGGTGAACTTTTTTGCAGCAAGCATCTGGAATATATGACAAATGCTTTCTTTCCTAATAAGAGCAGATGTTAAAAGCTTGATCAACTCCTCGATTCAGGGTTTCCCTTTCCATGAAAACTGATTGTGGAAACAAAAAAAAATAGAAGAATTCGTATTTGGCTGCTGCAATTGAGCATAGCAGCTCTCGTAGTTGCTTGCATGATGTTCTGTTGATTCATTTTGTTGGGTTTAAGATGAAATATTGTTTTTCATTGTCGATAAAAAGAGTAGTTCATTTCCTTTTTAACTGCCAGATTACTTTTTGTCTTTCTTCAAATTGCAGAGGCAAACCTATACTCAATCTATTTCATCATTTCACAGCCTATAGACCCTCTACTAAGACATTATCTTTATTGCAATTCTTGTTATAGTTTCTTAGTTGATTATGTCAATCTTTGTTTTGTCAGCTAAAGAGAAACTTCCATTCTGTTCATCTCATTCATACGAAATCTGATACCCAAACTTGGCCTGAAGAAAATCATCGAAGCGTTCCTATACTCAGGTGAAAGTGCTTTTTAGTTGATGCTCTAATCGAGCGGTTGAGACATGAGTAACAATTTAGAGTCCCCAAGTTTTAATCCAGCTACATAACCTTAATGAAGTGCTCATTGTTTCAACCTTGGTGGTACTTTACCCGACACTTGTGCTTGTTGGCTGTAGCAATATTGCACTCGGTGAGATTTATTCAGGTGCGCCCCATGGACCCAGCAACACCCTGTAAAAATTGTATTTTATATTTTATGCAATAATCAATGATTTGAGAACTTCATATCCGAGTGGAATTGCATAACTTTGGCTAATGGTTGTTGCAATATTGCCAAAAATTTCCATCCCCGGTTGATAATCTTTTTGACATCATTTTCCAGGTAAAGTAATGGCTTTATTTAGGAAATGGAATGATTAAGACCATACATGCTCCTTTTATCTCTTTTGGCTACTGGTGTATTGCGAGAAAGATAGCTAGCTTTTTGAAAAGTTATTGCTTTTTAATAGATCATTCGTCAATGACAACACTTTTGGGAAAAATAGCAAGTGCCCATTATTATTCGACAGAGCTGCTGCAATGTCTGAGATGTTTGAAGGTTCGACCTTTGTGAAACTTTGAGTTTTTAAAGAAACTTCATTAATGAATTTTATGATGTCTTACCATTCCTTGTGTAACTTACGCTCATCTTCTGGAGAGAAAAGGGCTGTCCATGGCGGGCTTTGGAAATAACTAGACAAACCTTTGAGGCCTACTTTCTATATATCCTTGTATATGGACCTAATCTTTCTTCTACAGAGGATGAAAATAATGAAGAAAACTAGAAATTGAAAGGAAAAAGATACTGGATTTGAGCATTCTTTCGTTTGCCATTTATATGTTCTACTCTCAAAACATCAGGGTAGAGAATTTTGCAGCTTACTAGCAGCAAATGGTCGTTTTGTACCACTAGATGTCATTAGTTAATGGAGACACTCTATCTTGGTTTTACTTTGTTTATTATGTATACACGTAAGCTATGAGATTTTTTTGGGCCAAGTCATTCCATATATTTTTTATTTAATTGATGATTCTCTCCTTGATTTTACTGTAAGGCTTGTGGACATGGAGTTAAAGTACAAGTTGTTAATAAACAGTAAGTGGTGTAAGAAAATGTTGCATCCATTGCATATGACTTGAACTGGCACATGTTCCATATTTGGAAGCTTTACCAGTATATGTTCCCCCAAATGTATGTTCAGTTTCTTTTTTTTCTCACTCTTAAACAATTAGAAAAGAGCTCAAGGGACAAATCAAATAACCTGTCTTTTGGAAAGGGGGGGGGGTTTATTTTGGCGGCAATAGGAAGGATTGGATTTAATTAATGGATATCATATCTGAAACGGGATTTAAGCTGGGTTTGTTGTTGTTGTTGTTGTAGTATTTCTGAGTCGCCTTATAAGCTTTGGCCTCTCTAGATGTTCATCAGCTGTCTGTACATACATGGGAGTTTGAGGCCATGAATCTCACCGTCATGTCGCTGCTTTGAAAATTATCACCATTATGCACATTGGGCATTCATGGAATCTTCATATACCTCAAGATACCTCTCTCGAGTATTTTGACAATATCAAGTCAATTTTGGAATTATGCTGATCCGTTTGGTCCCGTAAACGATAATTCTCTAGCCAGTGTGAAGGGAACCATTTGATGTATGGTGCATATTCTCAGGCAAAGCTCTCTTTGTTTCATGCTTGCTTAAGCTGCAGTATGCCGCCACGATATCATTGTGTGAGTTAGCCCATGAAACTTTCACACGTCATGTCGACTGCCTTTGGGAAAATTATCACCCATTATCACAATTGGCATTCATGAATCTTCATTATACCTCAGATACCTCTCATAGTATTTGACAATATCAAGTTCAATTTTTGGAATTATGCTGATCCGTTGGTCCCTAACAATAATTCTCTAGCCAGGTGAAGGAAAACCATTTGATGTATGGTGCTATTTCAAGGCAAAGCCCTGTCTGCTGCTTAAGCTGCAGCATCGCGCCACACTTGAAAGAGTATTACAGCTGACGTATCTTGGCATACAATGGCTGCTTCATCTGGTCTATCTTTCTTTGCTAATGTGTGGAATGTAATCCAAAATAAAGTTTTGGAGAATAGTTCAACATAGTTTTGAATTTTCTTGTCTACTTCTGGCATATAAGAAAAAGGTGACCAGAGCGTTCTTCTGGCGAGGTTTGTTGCCATCCTGCGCAGTTGTCTCTTGAAAATGCCATTACGCCTGATCTGTCATGCAGCAGAGATTCCTAGGATTTCAAGATTTAGGCTGCAGTGAAGGCCATTTTGGTTCATGTTTAGTATACCTCAAACTTCTTGTCTTGCAACAGGAAGTAAAGACTTAGCTATCAGTTTGTGGATTTACCGCAAGTATGACTTTGGGCCTTGGACATCCTGCAATATTTCTCCACACTGGTCCAGAAAACAGTTCTCCTCCAATTCAGTTTCCGTGGGCTTGAAGGTAATCTCAGTCAAAGACTTCTACTTTTTGATGTGTTTTCCTAACATTTTCCTGCCAGGTAATGTGTTAGATGGGGATTTGTTTTAAGAGTAGGCTTGTAGCTTTTAGTTTCTGGTAAAAGTACATATACGTAAAACATTTGGATTTAGGGGCCAGAAGGTCTACTTTCTTTTATCTTCAGGGTTACATTAAGATACAAATCTGATCGGTCGATCAAGCATTTTGTTTTCTGGAGACTTGAATCATTCCATACATTTCAAAGTCATAGTCCGGCATATTTCTTTTTTGCAGTTGGAAGAAAGGAAGAATTGATTGCTAATTTGATGCACTTTTGTCAAGATATGAGTCTGCCATTCCACGAATTATTCTCTGAACTCTCAAGTAATTCTCCCATATGTTACTCTTTGCCGACAAATACACAGGAAGGACGGCAGATAGCTCCTATCTTACCAACAGAGTAAATAAGTACCATTTATTTTATTTATATTTTACCTTTTTGTTTTTCTTTTTAAATCCTTACCTTTACTAGTGTTTAATGTGTTTCCCTAGTTTTTACCCTATTGTATTTACAAACTTTTTCCTTCATCGTGTCTTTGTTATTTCTTGTTGGAGCTATTTTTTGTTGCTTCCTTTTTAACTGTTTCTTGAGCCGAGGGTCTATCAGAAAACAACCTCTCTACCTTAAACAAGGTAGGGGTAAGGTCTGCGTACAGATTACCCACCCCAGACCCCACTTATGGGATTACATTGGGTTTGTTGTTGTTATTATTGCTTACAACTTTTTCCATTTACCTGTGTCCCTCCACCAAAACGGAAAAAAAACTTCTAGTTTGCATATATTGCATTTTGTGAATTTCTCATTACTTATTTGCTTGGATAACTTTTGAGAAAAAGTCCAATTTCAAGCTCAGAAACGGGATAAAGGTTGTTTTTTGGGGGTGTGTGTGTGTGTGGGGGGGGGGGGGGGGGGGAAGGAGTGTGAGGAAGGGGGTTTCAACGCCATACATGACCATTGAAGTTCATTAAGCTCTTCTTTTCTAGCATGATTGTTTGTTTCAGTAGGCTAAGATCAACTTGTGATGCGAAAAGGCTATAACTGTTGAACATCAAACAGCTTTATACCCTTACAGCTGTCCACGATTTCCTGAATTGGCTTGAATAATGTTCCTATCCTGAATTGGTTGTTTATTTGTTTTTGACTTTTTCTGTATTTTCCACGAAAAAACCACAGGAATGAACTGAAAGTGGTTTGATTTTTAAGATCTTTTTGTCAAGGCTTGTTTTTTATAATTAGCTGGTTGTTTGTAAATCTTATTTCTCTTTAGTTCTTACCTTAATGTAGATTTCTTGTCAAACACTGACAAGATGCAATAACGGTACATATAACAACAAACGTTCAACATTGGAAGAATAAACATCTGGTCTTCACAAGTATTGCTCAGATTATTCTCATATAACAAAAGTATTGTTCACTATATTGCATAGGATTCATGAGTTACAGCATACAACTAGCACTGTGTAAAGCGCGAAAAGATGAGAGCGAGGCGCTATATACTTTTAGATTTTCACAACATCAATTGGTCTCTTTCCTTGCTGGTAGTATTGAAGTAAGTTGCAAGATAATCCTTCGCTGTCTTTGTATAATCGTGGCCTTTTATCATCTATGAGCTCCTCAACAGGCTCGATGTCAATCCCGGATTCTGGGCTACAGAACATAGCCACAGTGATCCTTTCTTTCTCTGAGTTTGTCACAGCTCTGTGCACGGGGCTCTTAAGAAGTCCGTTACTCATTATCTGCAGGTAGTAAGATATTGATCAAGATTAGAGAATTGAGTTGAATTACTTGTACTTAAAAATAGGATCATTTTAGTACCTCTACTTGATCACCAACAATGACAAGAAGAGCATAAGGCATGATGGGAACTCGGTACCATTTATTGTCTTTCAGTACTTGAAGGCCTTCAACTTCTTTATTGTAGGAGAATGGTAATGGCCGTTCCATCTGCATGGGATTTGGAGCCACGAACAAGTTTTGGCCTCGGACATGGAGGGTAAAAGTTAAATCTTGCATATATTACTGGCCTGTCTCCATATTGTTTCAGAAATCGATCATCGGTAAGTTCAAACACCTTGCCATGTACTTGAGGAGCTCTTCCGCTATCAGTTTTGATCTGCTGGTATATTCTTCTAAATTTCCCTGTAAATGAGGGTTTAGCTTACATACATTGACAGTTCAAAATTTTACACTATCAGTATATTTTAACCACAGTTGTAACAGGTTACATGTTCCATTTTCTAGGTTACTAATTCCACTTATTGTGGACAGTTCACCTATAGTTATTTTTAGGTGACTTGATTATGTATAAATCTTTTTTAAACTATCAGCCTATAGAAGTTAAACTCGTGAAGAAAGAGTGGCAAGTGCCCAATATTATGCACTGGAGGTTAAACATTAGGTTGCTGTTATTTCCAAAGGTAGACAGAAATACCTAAATGACTTGGGATTTTCGGGCCAATACTTGAGCTTTCGGTCATTTTCTGGATGGACTTTGAGATATATTCGGTCATTCCAATCGAGAGTTTGATTTTCATATAGAACCATGTCATTTCCATATCCATCAATATCATCTGCTGCTCTTGCATATTTTTGCTTTCTTTCCATTGATAGGTCAAAGAATTGCCTTGAAACTTGTGCACTTCATCTAAGAGTGATTCTTCAATTCCATGGTTTATTGCCTGAAACTTTATACTTCTCTTAGAATATGCTAAAAGTACTCAACAGATCTCGAAAGATGCAGTTTAAGGGCAGTCCGGTGCACTAAGCTTCCGCTATGCGCGAGATCCGGGGAAGAGCGGACCGCAAGGGTATATTGTACGCAGCCTTACCCTAGATTTCTACAAGAGGCTGTTTCCACGCTTGAACCTGTGACCTCCTGGTCACATGGCATCAAGTTTACCAGTTACGCCAAGGCTCCCCTTCTAAAGATGCAGTTTAACAATATACAAATCTTGGATGCAAAAAGTATCATTATGCTGAATAAGACTTCAGTTAGAATATTCAAACCTGAAAACAACCCATGAGCTTAGGGCTGATTGAAGTTTTCCAAGTTCCTCTCTGCCACAAGCTGATGAAGATGTCAAAACCTTCATATCAACTACAGGTATGTCCATTATCGGAACATCATCATCTATGGCTCCATATTGAAAATCCTTGCTTACGTACTTATCAGATATTTCATCACCATCTTTCACTATCTCTTGAACTAGTTTGCAGCCTATATCTGCTGTAATTGGGGATAGTCCAGCCATATTCTGTGAATATTAGTAAGAAAAGTTTCTAGAGATATATAGCGATAGCATGTAGCAGTGAGGTTGATCATTATCTAAATGCTGCGGCCTCTTGTTTTAATATTTATAAGCTCATCTCAGGGTTCACATTGAGGCGTACATGTGGTTGCTTTCTTATTGCTAAAGATTACAACTCATTATATGTATTGCCACATCAAAGAAGAAGTTAAGATGCTAGGCTGCAAAACATGGCAGTATGTGCATCATCTGTTAAACTTGTCCAGGGATACATATCTTGCGCGGTGTATCAGTTTTTTGTACAAGTGCTACAGCCAAAAGGACCTGCTTCTGGATAAGTGATGTACAATTTGAAGAAACATACAACATCTGATTGACCATTTGACTTGGACGGAGCAGAATGGATTCTGAGAATTCATATTGTCAATCTCAACTAATTGGGATTGAAGTGCAGTTGATTGTTTGGTAGATGAGTTGTCCCTGTCTGAAGTTCTCTAAGTTCATGTTAGTAATGTATTAATCTAGGTGACAAGACAATTCCTTAGGAAAACTTATTTCCAATCTTTGCTTTATGAAACACATATTGAACCTATGTTACGCGGATCCTTCATTTTGTCTTGATGTACTCATGCCAAATGAGTGTGATATGGTGTGCGTACTTCGGGCGGATTATAACCAAATAGTTTCATACATACGACATACATTTATACGTACCCATAAACATCCCCGTAGCGAGGGGCGATTTAAGGGGGCCGAAGGGGGTTTATCCGAACCCCGTTCGCCGGAAAATTACCCTGTATATACAAGGCAAAAGAGGTTCACCCGAACCTCCTTCTCCGAAAAATTACATTGTATATAAGGCTAAATCTGTGTTTTTACTTCTATATATTGTATTTTGAAATCCCTTGTCGTAGCCCAAAAGCACAACCCAACGGTTAAGGGGGTTCAAAACCTTTGTGAAGTTACTAGTTCAATTCCCACTAGTCACAATCTTTCTAATTTGTTAACCTTTTTCTTTTTTGAACCTCCTTACACTACTATAGAAATCCGGTAATTAGCGACCACAAAAATCGACCAACGTTGGTCGGTTTAGGCAAATTACTGACCAAAACTCGTCCACAAGGCTTGGTCGCTATTTTGGTGGTCGCTTTAGTATACCGACAAAGTTGGTCGCTAATTACCGACCAAGGTTGGTCGCAAAGGTAAAAGGACCGGCTGTACAATTAAAGCACATACCGACCAACTTTGGTTGGTAACATATTTTAATAATTTAATTTTACCGACCAAAGTTGGTCGGTGTATTTAAATTACGCTATTTCATTAATTATTAAAATCTAAAAATTAGCGACCAAAGTTGGTTGGTAAAAATAATTAATATATAATATTTTTTTTGAATTAAAATTTAATCATACCGACCAAAGTTGGTCTGTAAAGTTGAAATCTGGGTAATCCTTGACCATTAACCGACCAACTGTGGTCGGTAATTTTTTTTTTTAAATTAAGTGACCAACCTTAGTCGCTAATCAGTAGAAAATATTTTTTAATTATAAACCGACCAACTTTGGTCGGTTTCTGGATTTTAATTTTGACATAAAATGTCTGTTTTGGCAGCTACACCACCTGCCAGCATACCAAATCCCTGAATGACAACAACAACAACACAATTCAATAAATACATTAAAACTAACAAACAAAAGTTCAATAGAACTAAAAATCCAAAACCAAGTTAAAACTTATTACAACTAGTTCAGAACCGGTTTTTATTTGTCTAGTTCAAAGTATATACAAGTCAAGGGGTGTTTTGTACAAACATCATCATCAGTCTGATGAATTTTCATCTAAAAGACGGTGTCGAGAAGGGTCTTGTGGAGGACGTAAAGAACGACCACGGGGAGGACGGGAGAACGATCACGGGGAGGACGGAAGGAACGCTCACGTTCAAGTCGAGCCTCTGGCGATGACTCACGAGACCGGGGCAACGGAAAAGCTCCAGTAGATAGGAAGAGTTCTGATCTGAGCTTGCGTGCCAAGGAATTGAGCATCTCTAACCCTTTCTCTTTCCTTGGCCGCTTCTAGCTCGGATGTGAGCTTTGTCACAGTCTCCCGCATAGCGGAGAGGCTCTCCCCATTAAGTTGCTCGCCTTGCGCGGAAGTCCCTATTCCTTGCATTCCACACTTATAGCGATGGAACTTTTTAGTAGGAAGCCCGTATACCTTCCCCCATTTTGGACGCAGCAGACTCTATCCATATTCTTTCAGCATCCTCGTCCGAAGGTTGGGTTGGCTCGCCCGATTCACCAGCTGGCTGAGTGCAGATGAATTCCTCCACGTTAGTTTGGTAGTGACCCTATAACAAATATTAATTGAATTAGTATTTCAAAATTTATATAAAGTAATTTAAATCTTAAAGAAAAGTGAAAGCTTACATATACAGTCGAGGCCCGGTCCTCGACCCACCTTTCTTGATCCGTTTCTTTCTTCTTCTTTACAATATGCGTCTCCTTGAATAGCTCATCATGGTTCATTGGACGCCCCAACTTCTTTTCCTGAAAACAAATTAATTTAGTTAATAAACAGAATAAATATACTTTAAAAATTAATAATTTTAAGCAATTGCGTACCAATCTTCTTTTTATTGTCCCTAGGCTGATCGCACCTCCAGTGTGCAAGGAGCCTCCTTTCTCAGATGCGCGAGCTTTCTTTCCTTTTTCGCTTTTCTCTAAGAACTTTGCAGTACGCCATTGCCTTTGCAAAATCATCCCATAAATTTTGAAGTAACCAGTCAGGCTTCTTGTTCTTCTTTCTAGCTTCGGAGAAAGTATGCGACAATCGCTTGCGAGCTTTGTGATGAAAATTTGCAGCCACTTCCGCGGTATAGGGTGTTCCCATACACACTTGCTTGTATTTTAAAAGTTAAATATTAAACAAGAAATATCATAAAATAAATTATTAAACTGCTTAAAAAATATTTATACCTTAAATTGAATGAAAATTTGTTCCTTCAGCGAGATGAAAAATCAGTCCAAGTCGCATAAGAGCCATCATAAAGCTTTTTGATGGCTTTGGTGATTATCCTCGTAGTCTTATTACTCGTGATGAACCTGCAATTTAACAATAAAAACACATTAATATCTTAGTAAAATTTTTATAAACAATAAACGCAAAAATAACAATAATCCTTACCCATCACCTCAGGGACTATGATGATCCTGCCATATTGATCATAATGCACCTCCTCGTCATCAGCATCATCATCCGAATCATGTATATCAGAGGCATGTGTGGACGGTGTAGGGGGCCAGAGCTACTACCTCGCAGGCGAAGGCCTGAAATAGATGGAGTCGCTGATGAAGATGGCTGCGATCCCTGTGACTGCGACATAGCTGGATGGACCTCAAGTGGCTGTGATACTGATGGCTGTGACCCGAGTGGCTGTGATCCATGTGGCTATGACATGGATGGATGTGATCCATGCGATGTAGATGGCTGCGATCCACGTGGTCGTGAGGCAGTTGGACTGTATGTTGGATGTATAGTCCTATGGCCCTGTGATGAAAGACTTGGTGTCTGCATGAAGGTGTAGGGATCGTGATGCTGTGGCAGCTTAGTATAGCCGTGTGGTGGAGGATAAGACATAGGCATCTCTGTAGAGGGTGGAAAAGAGGGAGTATTATTAACTACCCTCCTCTTTTCCTTCCTAGCCTTTTCTCGACCCCGAGAACCAGTAGGGTCATTGTTACCTGACCCTTGCCTGCCATCTGCATATTAAATACATATTTAGATTCAAACATATAAGAAACTAGCTATAAAACAAGAGTTATTTAAAAAAACCAACTTTTTAAAGCTCATCGACGTATTGTTCCTCGTCCGAGAATTCTTCGTCCTCACTTGTTTGAGCTTCATCAGTTGATTCTTCGTCCTCATTTTCTATAATTGTTACTCATTTATATGAACTTCTTCCAATATGTGTTCAGGATGTTCCAAATCATTTTCTAGTTGATCGTCCACTATTTGATGAACACTGGAGATATCATTTTGATATGCAACATCTAACACATTCTCGACTTTCACCCTACCTACAGGCTTAGTTTTTATTACAAACCCACCAATCGGACTTATTCCGCCGCAATGAATAAGGAGCATAATACACTTGCCTAACATTATGTGCAATTATGAAAGGATCATAGCGATCATACTCCCTCGTATGATTAACCTCAATTATGTTGTATTGATTGTGTACTCTTGTACCTCTTGTTGGATTTGGGTCAAACCACTTGCATATAAAGAGTATCAATTTCTTAAATGGCCAACCTGTATATTCTAGTTCTATTATTTCTTTGAGCACACCATAATAAT